CTCAGCTCTTCAGCTCAAGGCTAGCGCTCTACCACTTGAGCCACAGCGCCACTTCCGGCTTTTTTCTTTTTGCTTATGTGGTGCTGAGGAATCGAACCCACGGCCTCAGGCATGCAAGGCAAGTGCTCTACCACTGAGCCACCTTCCCAGCCCCATGTGAGACTCTTATCTCCAATTAACCACCAGAAAACATAAATGGTACTGTGGCTCAAGTGGTAGAGCACTCGCCTTGAGCTGAAGAGCACAGGGAGAGTGTCCAGTCCCAGAGTTTAAGCCCCAGGACTGACCAAAAAAAAAAGAAACTATAAATGAGTTTGTTAGCTGTGCCTCCACCAGGTAAGACTAAATTCAAGCCATCCCTAGCAAATAAGAAACACTTAAGTATTTTAAATTCCTTCTTCAAGAATTATTCCACACTTCTCTTAAGGACCTTCATGATCAAAACATTCTTCATTCTACTTAGTCTCCTGGATCCTTATACTCTAGCTTTGAGCCTATTTCTTTATTTTTTTCTTATATTTTTTATTGTGAAAATCCATACAGAGGGGTTACAATTACATGGGCAAGGTAATGAGTACATTTCTTATTAAGCATTGTTGCCTTCTCCTTTGTTTCCCTTTCCCATCTCTTCCCATCTCCCCCCCCCACCCTCCCCCCTTGAGTCTATTTCTTTAGGCTCTAGCCAACAATGGAAAGAGTGACTATACACACACACACACATACACACACACACACACTAGGAGAAGAGCAAACACTCTTACCATGTGAGTGAGCCATGCCTCTAGCCCAAGTATTTTTTTTTATCAGTCATGGGGCTTGAACTCTGGGCCTGGGTGCTATCCCTGAGCTGTTCAGCTCAAGGCTAGTGCTCTATCACTTGAGCTACAGCAGCACTTCGGTTTTCTGGTGGTTAATTGGAGATAAGAGTCTCACGGACTTTCCTGCCCAGACTGGCTGATCCTGAGATCTTACCCTCCTGAGTAGCTAGCATTACAGGCATGAGCTACCAGAGCCCGGCTACCCCAAGTATTTTTGTATTCTTTTTTGTGCTGGTACTGGAGCATGAACTCAGAGCCTATGCACTGTCCTTGAGCTTTTTTGCTCAAGGCTAGTATTACCACTTGAGCCACAGCACAGCACTCCACTTCTGGCTTTTTGATGGTTTATTGCAAAAGCCCAACCTGGCTTCAGACTGTGATACTCAGGTCTCAATCCCATGAGTAGCTAGCGTTACAGATGTGAGCCACTACCTGGCTCAGTTTTTATATTCTTAAGGCATATAATACTTTCTAAAATCCAAAGGAGCAACTGCTGTTGTCATCCTTTACAAATGATTACAGACTATGAAGATCAGATTCTGAGAAGTAAAATAACAAGTGGTGAAGATAGAACTTAAACCAAAACTATGTCCATTTTCAGAGTTCATAACAATACAGAAATAGTCTGTTCCATAAAGAAAGAGGACTAGAAAGACTAAACATGTTATCAGTTTCAGCTAAAGATGTTAGAGTTCAAAGCAAGGCCTCAGTTAATTCCAGCCGAGATTAGGAAGACACATGAGGCACCCAGGGTACAAATGGAGAAATTCTTTCTGGGGCTTCTGCAAGTGTGGGGATCAGTGTCTTGGAGGAAGTATCTCCTTAAATACTGCTCTTGGGGCACCACCTGTGTCTCATGGTAGTCAGGACAATCCTTTGGGGAAGTGGGTTCTGAAACTAAAGTGTAGAGTTGGGTTAGATAAACACTGATTTAGATCCTTTATTATGTAAGTTAAAAGCTACTCACTTAAAATATCTAGTTGAAAATATGTCTCAGATGTTTTCATAAGAATGGATTTCACAGTTGTATTTTACTTAGGGCTAAATTTGAGCACCCTCCATACCTGCAGGCATAGACCTAAAATTCAATACTTTTAATTTGTCCGAGTTCAGTAGAAACTATTGAACCCATGTCTACACAGTCGTGCCATAAGTAAAACAAGTATTTCCTAGTCGTTTGGTATAATCTAAAAAGAGAGATATTGTCCAACCTTAACATACCGAAATTTTGCACATAATTGAATATAGGATATACTCAGTATACTAGGAGTATAGGATAGGTAGGAGGCTTCCTTCCCTCTGAAACTGTTTCACTTATTCTGGACTATTTTCTGCATTCCTGTTGCATTTTAACAAGTAACCTTAGGCCCCTTGATTGATTTTTAACTCTATAATGTGTCTCTGTCTCTAAAAGTAGGATTATAAGCTTCTGAAAGGAAGTTTGTGTTCTATCATGTAGCCAATGCGTGAATAAGAGTATTTAAATCCTACTCTGCTAATATGTGTATGTATTTTTCTGTTTTTATTTATTTATTACCAGTCTTGGCACTTGAACTCTGGGCCTGGACACTGTCCCTGAGATCCTTTAGCTCAGGCTAGCTTTGTACCACTTGAGCCACAGCGCCACTTCCAGCTTTTTCTGTGATTAATTGGAGATAAGAGTCTCGTGGCCAGGGCTGGGAAGGTGGCTTAGTGGTACAGCATTTGCCTTGTATGCTTGAGGCCCTGGGTTCGATTCCGCAGCACAACATAAGCAAATAGAAAAAAGCTGGAAGTGGCGCTGTGGCTCAAGTGGTAGAGTGCTAGCCTTGAGCTGAAGAGCTGAGGGACAGTGCCCAGGCCCAGAGTTTAGGCCCCATGACCAGACCCCCAAAAAAAAAAAAGAGTCTCGTGGCCTTTCCTGCCTGGGCTGGCTTCAAACCATGATCCTCAGATCTCAGCCTCCTAAGTAGCTAGGATTACAGGCATGAACCACTGGCGCCTGGCTGTATATGTTTTTTTTTGTCAGTCGTGGGGCTTGAACTCTGGGCCTGGGCGCTGTCCCTCAGCTCTTCAGCTCAAGGCAAGCGCTCAACCACTTGAGCTACAGCGCCACTTCCGGTTTTCTGGTGGTTTATTGGAGATAGGAGTCTCAAGGTCTCTCCTGTCCAGGCTGGCTTTGAACCGCAATCCTCAGATCTCAGCCTCCTGAGTAGCTAGGATTACAGGCGTGAGCCACCAGCGCCCGGCTGTATATGTATTTTTTATTTAATTTGAATAACTAAAGGATTCTAGAACCTTTGTACACTAGCAAAGTATCTAGGAATCTTTCCTCAAGATTTTTAAATGTTTCTATAACTCAAAGATCTAATCAGGAAATCTATACCTTTGTTCATAGACATTTAACCAAATATTAAATCAAATCTTACTACTATGTTATTTAGAATTAACATACTGAATAATGTTTATATCCAAGGTAATTAGCTCAGCAAAGTTGTGTTTGTTTGCTAATAGAGCTCTGTGGTAGTCTTGTTTTTATTTCTTTACATTAAAAAAAAAAAAGCTGGACTCATGTTTATAATCCTTGCTACTCAGGAGACTGAAATCTGAGGATCACAGTTTCCAGTCAGCCCCAGACAGACAAATCTGAGAGATTCTTACCTCTGACAAACCAGAAAAAGCCAAAAGTGGAAGTGTGGCTCAAAAAGTAAAGTGGCAGCCTTGGGCCTTAAAGCCAAGCAAGAGCATGAGGCTTGGAGTTCAAGCCCCAGTACTGGCATACCAAAAAAAGGTGGGGTGGGGAGCCTGGAATATAGCTCACTGGTAGAGCATGTGATATATCATGTGGTCAGTTCCCTGGGTTCCATGGCCAGTCTCTAGACAAGACATGGCTTGTAGGGTTGTGAAAAGTAATGTTCAGGGCTGTGTCTAAATAGAAAATAAGGTTGGTTTCATTTGGTTTGTGTTGGTTCTTTTCTCTAGAGAAAAAATCCTTACTGGAATTTTAACTACAAACAACGCTTAACATTTGTTGGTTCTTTTTGTGTGTAAATGCTAGTCCTGGGGCTCAAATTCTGGGCTTGGACTCTGCCCTTGAGCTTTTGTGCACAAAGCTAGTGTTCTATGATTTGAGCCACAGCTCAGCTTCTGGCTTTTTGGTGGCTCATTGGAGATTTCCTGCCCGGACTGGCTTCGAACCACAGTCCTCAGATCTCAGTCTCCCACATAGATAGGATTACAGGCCTGAGCCACTGGAGCTTGATGAAACAGCTCTAACCTTTGAATAAATAAGATGAATCACTACCATACCTATAACCCAGGAAACCGCCAGTCTTGATATATGCCCTAGAACTGTGAGAGAACTGGCCTCCACCACACACAAAATGAGCCCAGGTCTCTAAATGCAAAATGTTCTCTTCTATACTCTGTGACCTTTAGTACATTAACATTGGTAGGTCTCACTGAGACCTACCTTTTAGAGTAAAATCTGTGTTATGTTTGCATCTCAGCACTTTGTACATAATTTTATATATAGTAAATAGTAAATCTTCATTAAATGAAAGAGACTTAATGTTAAAACTGAATGTTTAAGAGTACACTTAGAATTGCCTACCTTTCTGTCACATTTGCACCTGTGTATGTGTTCGTACTCACGTATGTATTCATAGGTGTACATGAATGTATTAGAATAGGGCATAGTATAGCAAGAAAATACATGGACAGAATAGGAGACCTGGGAAAATACTGAAACCAGATTTTAAAATATACTCTCTATTGTTCTTCACTTTACCTCAATCCCCAAAATTCTCCTAGGAAACATGGATCTAAATGCCTTGTGCACTGCAAGATGGGAGTGAGTCGCTCAGCCTCCACTGTGATTGCTTATGCAATGAAGGAGTATGGCTGGAATTTGGACAGAGCCTATGACTATGTGAAGGAAAGACGAACGGTGACCAAGCCCAACCCCAGCTTCATGAGGCAACTGGAAGAGTATCAGGGGATCTTGCTGGCAAGGTGTGTTCTCACTGCCTCTCTAATTCTTACTCCTATAGGCTCCATAAGGCAAAATGAAGCGTCCTTCTCTGAAGCCAGTTCTGAGCCAAAAGTGAATGTGGTATTTTTTAATTTGGACTACATTCTGTCAGTCAAATTTTCCAAAATTAAGTATAAGCATTTAAGATTAGCATGGAAGATCTAGACATTTAATACTTTAGGTTGATGTTAGGTTAGTATTGACTAAAGAATAGAAATACTAGCCAGGCGCTGGTCGCTCACGCCTGTAATCCTAGCTACTCAGGAGGCTAAGATCTGAGGATCGCGGTTCAAAGCCAGCCCGGGCAGGAAAGACCTTGAGACTCCTATCTCCAATAAACCACCAGAAAACCAGAAGTGACGCTGTAACTCAAGTGGTAGAGCGCTTGCCTTGAGCTGAAGAGCTGAGGGACAGTGCCCAGGCCCAGAGTTCAAGCCCCACGACCGACAAAA